CACATACACACACACACACACACACACACACACACACACACACACACACACACGAGAGAGAGAGAGAGAGAGAGAGAGAGAGAGAGAGAGAGAGAACATGTGCACACACACACTTAAAATAAAACTTAAAAAAAAACCTCTTAGTACACGTCTTCACTTGTGAGTTCTACTAAATAGCTGAGGAAGAAAATAGAAAGGATATTCTCCAATTTGTTTTAAGAACTTAGTAAAGACAACACTCAACTGCACCTGTCACTAAACTAATGAAGTTTCTTGTACACTAGTCAATGTCCACTTCTCTGAGTCACTACTGTGTGCAGCATCCCCTATCATCTGAGATTCGGCTTCTGATGGATGAGCACCTGGCTCGGTGCTCCAGGAACCTGCTCTGCTCTGCAGGTAGATCACAGCCCAGTCAGTTCACAGGATGATCTCACTCTATAGGCACCACCATTGGCTTCCCACAGGGACAGGATGGGCCTGGATTCTCTGCTTATTTGCCCCTGTGGAGCTCTGAGTTGGCACACCAGTAGGGTAGTGTGACTATCCATCTCACTGCTGTGGGTACAGGATGACCCTTCATCCTGTGTGCTCCCCCCAGGCACCTTCCTTCTCAATGTAGAGAACAGCCCATTGAAGGTAGATAGATTGAAGGTACGAACCATGCTCAGGAACATTTTTCAACACTTCAGTCAGTGTGGCTTCAGCTGAATGAAGTTCATCATTCTTCAATAACTTCTTGAAGTCAGAGACATCAAGTAGATCCTTCTGGAGAACTTGGGGAGTGGTTAGGAGTACCTGTGAGACTACAGAAAGACAGTAGAAGAAAATGTTTCAAGAGCAGACACTGTGTATTACCCAGCACTTTACTCAGGTTGTATAAAATAATGGAAAAGTACATGAAACTCTGAACACAGTTTTAGAAACAGGAGCTCACAATCATTAAAGCCTTAGTGCTAGACACTGCTCCAAAGTACCTTCATCTTACCTATTTAATCTCACAATAATCTTAAAGGTAATCATTACTATGCCCATTTTTCAAATGAAGAGGCTGAGGCTAGCAAGTTTAAGTTGACTTGCTGAAGAGTACTTTGGTAATTATATGGTAAGAACAAGATTCAAATTCAGGCAACACAGGTTCAAAGCCAAAGCTTTTCACCACTATACCTTTCATACAGACACAGTCAAGTAGTCAACTATCCCTGGGGCCATTTATTGCTTCACATGTGGCCCCTGAGACCACTATGAAGTGCTACAAATAATTTTTAAGCCAAAGCTACACTGCATTATTTAACTTAAAGTTGTGTTGCTGAAATAAAATAGATGATATAACAAAAGTGTTACCCTGAGTAGCAAAATGTAAACATGTTGCCATTTTGTTTTAAATTATTAATAGATAGTACTCTTGGAAGACATAATTGCCAGACATCTGTTGACCCAGGAAGCTTCTTCCTCCAATTCTTAATAACACTGACCATAACTGAGAATCTATATAATATATATATGTATATATATATATCTTTTATGTATATATACATATACATATATAGAGAGAGATGATAGATGAAAGATAGATAGATAGATAGATAGATAGATAGATAGATAGATAGATATACCAAATAGAAAGTATAGCTGGCTGGATATAGGAAGGCAAACAACTCCAGCAACAGAATCATATTCACTTACTAACAACTACTAAATGATAAGCATTTTAATAGATGTAACATTTAATACCCAGTTGTGATCATTAATCTTGACTGTCAGCCTGACAAGTCTATAGTCAACATGGAAATACATCTCTGGCTAAGTCTATCAAGGATGTTTCTGGAAAGATTTAAACTGAATAGAAAAGACCCATCTTGAATGTGGACTGCACCATCCCACAGGCTGGGTCCTGAACTGAATAAAAAGGGGAGTAAGCTGAGCACCAGCATGCATTTCTCTCTGCTTCTTGACTGTGAATGTAATGTGACCAGCTGCCTTGACCCCCTGCCACCATGCTACATCATGATGGACTGTCCCTTCAAACTGCTATAATCCAACATAAACCTCATTTCCTCAAGCTGATTTCATCAGGCAGTTTTTCACAGCTTTAAGAAGAGCAATTACCATACCAGACACATAACCAAAGCAGAAAAGGTCAAAGAAGGATATTTACAAGCATTCAAAGAGTCAAAACCCTAACTCTCACCTTTCCTTTCTCTGACTCTCATGGAAAAATGGACATTAGCAAAATACAGAAAAAATCACAGCAAGGAAAAGTACAGATTCAGGAAGCAAGCTAGCCACAGAATGGAACTAAAAATAAGTCCTGAGACAAGAGCTAGCTGAATAGCAGGCAAGGGGAAGGGCATTTGAAGGACATAAGCCTGTGTGTGTTGACAGTTTTGTGAGATCTAAAAAAATAAGATCCATAAGAAAATATGCAAGTTTTAAAACAAGATGAGTTCAACGTGATAGTGAATGCTTGCAGTCCCAGGTCTCAGGAAGGTTGAGGCAGGTTATAAGACTGTGTAATCAAAAACCAATAAATTACATATTTTAAAGGGCAAGGTTTATGTTTAAAAGTTACTATCAATTAAAGACACACATCCAGGAGCTCCAGAAATGGCTCAGTGGTTAAGAGTGCATACTGCTAGTTGCAGAAAACCTCAGTTCAGTTCCCATCACACACATTGAGGGCTCACAACTACCTGCAATTCTAGCTCCTGAAATCCAATGTCTCTAGCCTCCATGGGCACCCACATGGCCATGCTCAAGCACATATGCACATACGCACATACGCACATACACACACACACACACACACACACACAAGTAAATTTTTAAAATACACAACTAATTTAAATTTTCATAGATTATAAAGCAATTTTCCAGTCACCTTCTTGCACCAGAAGTATTCACATACCTATGGACTCTTTAAAGCTTGGCATACTCTTCGTTTCCCTTAAGAAATCTTTTAAGTCCACCTCCATGTTATCTGGAAGGCCAAAATCAAACATGCTGTCATTAAAAATGTTGTATTTAATCAGCACATCGAATTTTCTGATTCATAATAATTATATAAAAACTCATTTTCATTCACTTTTCTCAAATTATAGAAACTATTTCAATAGAACTTCTAATACCTAGGATTCATTGTTAATATTAAATAACATTTTAGTTCCTTATATATGATACTTTACATGTATTAATTCATTTAATATTCACAACATTACATGTATCATTAATATGCCTATTGTTAAAAGATGAAAGCAAAAAGAAATTAGCTTGTTCAAACAATAAGACCAGGAAGTTCTAAAGGCTGTTAGAAATTTGAAATGATTCAGTCTCATTGAAGGAGTGGTAATATTACTATAAGTGTATAATACACTGATACAAAGTCACAGAAGTCCTGAAAGAGTCAAAATTATAATGAAATGACAATGTGGGTAACACAGAAAAATATACCAATATAAACCCCAAGAGACAGAATATAAAATGTCTATTTATCTATGACTGGAGTCTTGTAAAGGAAATAAGAAAGGTTAACCAGGAACTAAGATATAGACTGGTAAGCAGTGAGTAGCAAAACTACAGCCATCTTGGGGATAAAACTAAGATCCAGAAATGACTAAATAATTTATCTAAGTGTTTGTGAAGAGCCATACAAAACACCTGGGTCTATACTAAAATGGGAGTTAGAACATATACCAAGTCAACTGGGATGTATAAAGTGTTTCTTTCAACCAGTAAAAAGAAGACATATAGGGGCAGAGAAAGAAGCTCAGAGGTTAAGGATGCTCCCTGCTCCTCCGGAGGGCCCAAGTTCAGTTCCCAGCACCCATGTCCAACACTTTACAACCACCTTGACCCAGCTCCAGGGGATCTGATGCCCTCTTCTGCCCTTCTCAGGTACCTGCATACATGTAGCACACTCTCAAACAGACACACGTGTGTACACATAAGTAAAAATAAAAATAAATCCTTAAAATTAAAAAGGAAGATGTATGTTCACTGATCTAGTATGAAAAAAGGAGGCCCAAACCACCCAACCTGACACACAATGGGGTGATGGGGAGATTCCTGTGGGAAATTGAAGGTCCCCGCAGAATCTGACATGGGTTTGGAGACTTAAATTTATGTCATTTGGGTGTGGCAAAATTAAAGGTCCAACTTCAGTGCACAGCACCCTGTCCAGCAGCTCACAGCAGCTCACAGCCTCCTTAACTCCAGCTTCAGAGGATCCAATGCCTCTTCAGCCTCCTCAGATACACATGACATACATTCTCACAGACATATATACATCCACATAAATAAAAATAAATTTTGAAAAATGAAATAGGAAGATATGTTCACTGACTCAGTATAAACAAGGAAGACTAAATAACCAAATCAGATAAAAACTGATGCAGATTTAAAAAATAATCTAGAGGAGTCAATAAATCAATAACCAAATTGTGTAACACAGGTGCTTCCAAACCTGGAATTCATAGGATTCCCACAGGAAAAAAACAGACAGATATACCCCCAAATAAAAGCTCCCCTAAAACTAATAAAACTCCGCATCTTCTAGAAGATTGCCAAAGATTTCATTTTCTAAAAGTAAATATGCATATATATACATACACACACACACACACAAATTTATAGTCACATATATAATTCATGAAGAGGGATCAAGTGCATACTATTGAAGTCAATGGTGGAAAACAAGGGTAAATATGGAGCTACTTGGAAACAATTACTCAAACAAAACAATTGCACTTTTAAAATGCATTTTATTTTATTTGGTTAAAAATCAAATGTGAGCCAGGCGGTGGTGGCGCACGCCTTTAATCCCAGCACTTGGGAGGCAGAGGCAGGCGGATCTTTGTGAGTTTAAGGCCAGCCTGGTCTACAAAGCGAGTTCCAGGAAAGGTGCAAAACTACACAGAGAAACCCTGTCTCAAAAAAAAAAAATCAAATGTGACAAGCACTATATATAAAACAGGTGGAGTTGGATCTCCTCTAGGGAAAGACTCTATATCAGCACAAAATACTGTCTACAATGTATGATATTTCCCCACTCAGGCTTATAAGTAATGAATAGTAATTATCTAATAAGTATATTGCTGTGGGATGGTCTGTATGTCAAATGTGTTGCTCTGATTGGTCAATAAATAAAACACTGATTGGCCAGTAGCCAGGCAGGAAGTATAGGCGGGACTAACAGAGAGGAGAATTGACAGAACAGGAAGGTGGAAGGAGACACTGCCAGCCGCTGCCATGACAAGCAGCATGTGAAGATGCTGGTAAGCCATGAGCCACATGGCAAGGTATAGATTTATAGAAATAGATTAATTTAAGATATAAGAACTAGATAGCTAGAAGCCTGAGCCATTAGGCCAAACAGTTTAAATAATATAAGCATCTGTGTGTTTATTTTATAAGTCAGCTGTCAGACTGCCGAGGCTTGGCGGGACCCGGAGAGAAAACTCTCCAGCTACAGTATATATCATAACCAGATGAGTATGTGCAGTTAGATATGTCAATAAATTAGAATTGGCCATGACTTATATCAATCAAGCTTCCAATATCATTACTCTAGTTCTCATTTTAACCTTATATATACATTCTACATTTCCAAGAAGTAGGAAAAATGAAGACACTCTTAAGCCAAAAAACAAAACAAAATAAAATAAAATAAAATAAAATAAACAGCTCACCATTGATATCACAACGTTCAAGAGCTTCATTGAAGTCTTCTTCAGTCAAATTAGCATTCAAACATTTCAAGGCACGCTGCAAGTCAGATATAGAGATCTTGCCATTATCAACATGTGACAAGATGTCAGCAGCTTCTTTGATCTCTACAAAAATAAATATGTACAACATACTGTTATTTAAAAAATACATACAGGGCTGGGAATGGTGATACACATCTTTGATCCCAGCATTCAGGAGGCAGAAATAGGTGGATTTCCATAAGTTTGAGGCCAGCCTAGTCTACATAGAGAGTTCCAGGATAGCCAGAGCCACATAATAGAGAAACCATCTTTAAAAAAAAACAAAAAAACATACAAACCAATTTATCCAAAACCTACTATGAACAAAGTCATGTGATAACTATTTACCAGAACCAAAAATGTAGTAGAAGTAAAATATTTTCTACTGATAATGATGACCTCAAACAATATTTAAGTTTTTTAAAAAATGGTTTATGGCAAGCAGACAGTGATGGATGTTCTAGTTTGCTTTCTGTCACTGTGATAAAACACTGACCAAGAGTCCTGGGGAGGGAAGTGTTTACTCCATTTTACAACTTAGAGTCCTTTATGAAGGGAAGTCAGGAACCTGGACTCCATTTCATAGAGCTTTATTAAAAGTTTATCAGTCATCAGTGTTCTCTCTCAACCAGGTTCTGTTCACAACCTCTATAGCCAAATGATAGTCCTACCATCTCACACAATTTAAAATATAAGATATATCTGAAAGCATCAGTGTTTTAAATTTTTTATCTATACCATTTCTCTTTTAACTCAAAATAAAGTTGTGTGTATTTCCATACTCCGAAGTTATATGAAATAATTCAAGCCTTCATGAAAGTCACTTGGGAAAAAACACTATCTACATCCTTTCCACTAACAGTCATTTTACAGCTACTAACAAGCAACATTGAAAATCCAATCCCTCTTTTCAAAGAGGTTCCTGTAAATTCCTTAATGAGAGAGAATGACTATGCTATCTCTGTAAACATAATTAAAATCTATCACATAATTGGTGCTATGAGAAAAGTATACACAAGATCAATCTCAGATTAACCTCACTTCATTAGTATGTGATAAACTTAAATAAGGCTGTATAAAATGAAATATGATATCTGAGCCAAGCTCCTGGGCAAGGGTAGGGGGTAAGTTGATCCAACAGGAAATATACAAAGTAAATAGTGTATGCAAAATCACAGGCCCAAAAGCAAGCTAAAGCAATTTAAATTATGGTAAGTAATATAGCTACAGAATAAACACAGTATGATAAACATCAAAGATAAAGAGATAAAGCAGATCTTTCATTCAATGAATATTTAAAATTATGAGTTATCATAAAAGACTCAAAACAATATCTGGCATACTAAATTTAATTAGCTATAAACATTAGCTTTTCTTAACAGTAAGATAAGAGCCAAGATTTCACTGCATTCTCGAGCTACAATTATCCCTAGGCCAATGGCACTTCTAGGCAAATAGGAAGCAATAACATTAATCAAATAATGAAAACCAGGAACAGTTATTTCTATGGAATAAATACTGTGAGCCAGAAATGAACTAATGAAAGCACACAGCAAAAGAAATTAATTTAAGCTATCAGATGAGGAAGTGGTATCTCCAAGGAAGCAGGCTCACCAGTAAACATAAATGAGCAAAACAGGTCAGGGAAAAGCATGCCAAGAAACAGAATATACAAATGTTTAGGAGTTAAAAAAAAAAAAAAGTACGGAATTTGTGAGGGGGCGGGGGAAATAATGCAGTAGCACAGACTGCAAAGTAAATGGTCCAAAGTAATACTGCAGAATTATGGCATGCATGCTATGAAAACAGTATGGAGATTTCTCAAAAAACTGAAGAGAGAACATCTGTATGCCCAGCTACACCCCTCCTGCACATCTGCCCAAAGACCTCTACATCCTACCACAGAGATATTAGCTCATTGTGTTTGTTGCTACCTTATTCATAACAGCTAAGAACTGGAACCAGCCTAGATGTCCGTGGATAAAGAAAATGTGGTTATTATATACTATGGAACTGTATTCAGCTGTAAAGAAAAAATGGACTCATGACATTTTCAGGAAAAAAAAATGGAACAGGAAATTATGTAAAGAGAAGAAACAAAGATTCAGAGAAAGATAAATACCACATTTTCTCTCACAATCAGATTCTAGATTTGAGCAAGATACATTAGAAATACATCAGCATTTGACAATCATCTAAAACAATTCTCTTGCTACATGAAATAGATATGTGTGTGTACAATATATCACATATAACGCTCATACTCACCACCTGCTGTTGGTAATTTCAGGTGTGGAGACGACACTTCCTTTTTCAGACCTGAAAATGCAGAGTGAAACAGTAAAATGAAGAACAGCATTCTGACCTTACCTACTTGGGCAGGAAACAAGGGGATAAATCATGTTCTTCTCTTGATAGTACTAATCAGTGATGACCATTCATTCCCTTGTCAGACAACCATATTCTCATTCTTCACTCTCATTCTTCCTAGCTGCCTCTGTGATTTCCTTCACCAACTCTTTAAACATGGCAGTTCCCAGCAGGTGTCCCTGCTTTCCTGGTGCCTATCCAATAAAGTATTTACTTATTACTCTGAAATTGATCTCTCGTCCTCCCTCCTTCCCTTCCTCTCTTTCTAGTCTTCTCTTTTTCTCTTCCTCTCATCTACCAAGCTGCTAATCCTGGAGCTTTTCCTATGTACCAACTGCAGTTATCTCATTATCCCACATCCTTTCTACAGAGATGGAAATCAGAACAAGATCCATTTGAGGGACAGATAATAGAAAAGTCACTGTTTTAACTTTTATTATTTTATATGTATGGACATTCTGCTGGCATGTATGTCTGTAACTACAGGTGTAGCTGTTGCCTATGGAGGACAGAAAAGGGCATCATATCTCCTGGAACTGGCATTACAGATGGTTGTGAGCTGCCATGTGGGTGCTAGGAAATGAATGCAGATCCCCAAGAAGAACAGCCAGTGCTCTTAACTGCTGAGACATCTTCTCAACCCCACTCTATTTGTGTAAATGGGTCTGACTGCAGTTGAAGAATGCTTTAGAATAATTTATGAGTAGCAGGGTATTACTTGAAACAAAAGGAGGTTAAAACACAGATAAATCATACTTATTTTTTTTGTCTGGATATGATGAACTAACCTTATTAAAAATACTTCCAAAATGGTAGAGTTGAATAATTTTGTAGATAACTCTAAGATTTCTAGACCTCAGAACTATTAATGTTTTGGTCCACTACTACTGGTTGCAGTAGTGCTGTCCCAGGGATTACAGGATGAGCATGCTTAGCCCATGATGCTTGCCTCTACTCTCTGGATGTAGTCCTTCCTCATTGGTTCTAGCAATAAAGACTGTCCTGGAGTTCCAAATATACACTCAGGAAATTATAGAGGGTAAGACACAAACATCTCTACCCACTGAGCAATTTCACTGGCCATTCCTTGGGGGAATTTAAAATATATATATATATATATATATATATACATTTAATTATATATATACATTTAAATATATATATATATATACATTTGCTAAAGTGCCATTCAAATGCAGTAAATGTCTTTTAAAATATAGTTAAGAACCATATAGATATCAGGCAAACTTTTTGTAAATAAACAGATAACACAATTGGCTATAAAAAATAAGCATGCTTCAATTAAATTATTCAACAATACTTTACCTAATGGCCTTTTACAAGAAAGAGGGGGAAAAGGCAGGAGGGAAGGAGGGAGAAGAGAAGGGGAAAACTATAATAATAAGATCATCTAAAATACACCCAAATATGTATTAATTTGGAATTAAATTTATGTAGAAATAAATATTGTCTTGAAGACACACAACAACATGATGAACTAATCTGAGACCAAGTTTGTAATCCAGCCCATAGGATAACCTAGGCATTTAATTTCATAACCAAATTTCTTTAGGGTCTGGGGACAAGGCTCAGTGGCTAAGAGCTCTTACAAAGAACCCATGTTCAATTCCCAGAACACAGAGTATCTCTCAACCATCTGCAACAGCACTTCAGGAGATCGATGCCCCCTTGTGGTCTCCACAGGCACCTGTCATGCACATGGTGCAAACACATACATGCACACAAAACACTGACACATGCAAAATAAAAACAAATCTATCTTTAAAATTTTTTAATCTCAGTGAAAATATAGTCCAAAATCTAATATATACTAAATATTGTTCCAATGTGTTCATGCCATTATTTAGGAACTAAGTATTTAAAAATTAATTGGTATTTGGTAAAAGAGTTTGAAATCCTTGAATAAACATTTAGAAAGGGGGCTGAAGAGATGGCTCAAGCGCTCTTGCAGAGCTACTCAGTTCTGTTCTCATTGGGCAGCTCACAACTTCCTATACCTTCAGATCCAGAGGGATCCATGTCTCTGGTCTCTTCTGGTACCTGCACATGTGTATACATACCCATACAGAGAGACATGCACATACACATGCATAATTAAAAACAATCTTAGGGGAAGTCAGAAAAACAGTAATGTTAACCATTAAAAACTGAAAGCCCATGGGTAAGTTTCTCTTAATTTAAAAGATGTAAAACAAATGTTAATTACAAGCTGCTGGCTGTCTGCTTAATCAACTTACCCTCGACATTTTCCAGTCCCCCCAAATATTTGTCTTTATCAGACCAAGAACTTCCTTTCATGGAGTCCAGCTTATTAATGGCCTCTTTTGATGCTACAAGTACAGAAAATATGCAAATAAATATACATACAATATACATATACCATGCATTCAATACATCATTCAGTTTGTGGATCTAAATTTTTGAGCACAGTAAGAAATCCATGACCTCTTCTAGATCTGCACTGTCCAGTACGGCACTCACTAACCACATGTGGCCACATAAGTAGAGCACTCCATCTCCACTATGATAGTCTTCTTCACACTAACTGTCTTCTATGTATATCTTTTGATTATTACAGATAAACCCACCTCTCGTCTTTGTGTTTTGTATCAGAATCTCACTATGTAGCCCAGCCTGGGCTTACACCTGCAATCCTCTCGCCATGCTCAGAGAACAACCCTTGTTATGTTCAAAACAATCTTGTAAAGCCTAGGATTTGGATGGAGTGTTTCAAAATATACACAAAAGCATATTACTTTTTCATCCTCAAGCATCCTCTGAACCCAATTCTTCTCTTTCCACTTTCCTTCCCTACATCCTTGCTCCTTCCAGCTAACTTCACCTATCAAAATTGCAGAGAATCCAAATCTCCTTGTGTTTAGTAGACATTTGAACTAGGAAGCCTACAGCCAATAATATCCTGTAATTAAGGGAGAGACAGAGAGAGGGGGTCGAGAGACAGACAGACATTAAGAGAGAGAGAGAGAGAGAGAGAGAGAGAGAGAGAGAGAGAGAGAGAGAGAGAGAGAGAGAGCCTACATCTAAAATCTACCTCTAGAAAGGCTTCTGTAAAAGAGATAAGATCTCCTGGTTAAACTGGGAGTGCTGGGGGGCGGGGATGAGAGCACAAGAGAATGGGATGGTTGAGTTGGGGGAAGGACAGAGAGGGAGAGCAATGAAAGAGATATCTTGATAGGGGGAACCATTATGGAGTTAGGGAGAAACCTGGTGCTATGGAAATTCCCAGGAATCACAAGGATGAACCCAGCTAAGACTCCAAGCAATAGTGGAGAGGGTGGCTGAACTGGCCTTCCCCTCTAATCAGACTGATGACTACCCTAATTGTCATCATAGAACCCACATCCAGTAACTGATAGAAGCAGATGCAGAGATCCACAGCTAAGCACTGGGTGGAGCTCCTGGGGAGCAGTCGAAGAGAGGGAGGAGGGATTATATGAGTGGGGGGGGCGGTGGCAGCGGGCAGGGGTGTCAATATCATGATGGAGAAATCCATAGAGACAGCTGACCAGAGCTAGTAGGAACTCACGGACTCCAGACCAACAGCTGGGGAACCTGCATGGGACCAAACTAGGCCCTCTGAATGTGGGTGGCAGTTGTGTAGCTTGGGCAGTTTGTGGGGTCCCTGACAGTGGGACCAGGATTTATCCCTGGTGCATGAACTGGCTTTTTGGAGCCCATTCCCTAGGGTGGGACACCTTGCTCAGCTTTGATGCAGCAGGGAGGGGCTTGATCCTGCCTCAACTTGATATGCCAGACTTTGTTGACTCCCCATTGGCAGCCTTACCCTCTCTGGGGAATGGATGGGGAAAAGGTGGGGAGGTGGGGAAGAAGCAGGAGGAGGGAAGGGACGGGGTACTGTGGTTGGTATGTAAAATGAAAAAAAAACTTTTAAATAAAAAAAAAGGTTCTCTAATAATTCATTGAGAGAAATAGGTAATAAATTGTTTAAATTTTATGTAAAAGTAACCATGTTTAATAGATTATTTTTATGGGCCATCAGCCTTTCCCTACAAGTAACTTGATTTTGATTTTAAATCAACATATAAAACTTTCTGAAACTTAGCTTTTAATGGATTAATGAAGTGTGAGGTCCCCTACTAGAGATCTCATTCTCTAATTCAAATAAACTAAAACTAGAAGTAACAAGCATGGGGGTTGCAGTGAAGCCACAGCACTGTGGGATTTAAAATGACCTCGTAAGCTGCTTTTAGATCAAGGGGAAAACCAATGCACAACTGGAAATATTTAGAAAACAACAGGGAATGAGGAGATGCTCAGTGAATAAAGTGCTCACTGAGCGAGCCACCGAGAGTCAACCATGAGGTCACTGTGTGAGCCACCAGGAGTCAACCATGAGGTCACTGTGTGAGCCACCAGGAGTCAACCATGAGATCACTGCGTGAGCCACCAGGAGTCAACCATGAGGACTCCACCTTGCTGAGCTTATTAAATCTCAATCAGCTCTCAAGGCCCCACCTCTAAACACCACCATCAGGTGAGTTTCCACTCTTCACACACATGAGTTTAAAGGGGACAAATAGCAATGGGTATTGTGGAGAGCAAGCATTAAATATGATGCTTGACTAAATGACCTCTAAATGATTCCCAGTTGTTGCCTTGTAACAGTTTTATCATAAAGCTCTTACCAGTATAGTTAGAAAATTTCAGGGTGTCTTTCAAAGCTTTCATAAAGTCTTTAACATTCATCATGTTGTCTTTTAGAATGAAAAAGGAAAAAAAAGAGAAGTGAGAAATAATTCCTGGGCAAAGTAATTTTCAAAGACTAATATCAAAATAAACATTTTTAAATGTTTACATTTTTTTAAAAATTTATTTACAAGGTACTTTTGAATTCATTGCCAACTGTTATTTCTTACCACAACCCTACAAGGCTGCAGACATACCAGTTCCAACTTGGCCTGAAATGGAATTCAAATGCCAAGAAGGGCCTGTAATTTCACTTGGCCCAAAATGGCAAAGTAGTATCTCTACTCAGTTTAAATTCCCAAGCCATTCTTCACTGAAAGGAACAAGATCTGCAAGCAGAAGGATTTCAACAAGGGTGCTCCCCACAAAACTTAGGCTTGTTTATTTTAAAAGCTTATTTATTTAAAAGGTTTGTTTATTCTTATAACTTCAGAAGAGCAGATTTTTAAAGGAAAAGCTCCTTTTCAAAGATAATATTTTCAGAAACAGAACCAAACATCTCTAGACATGCACACCATTTTTGCAGGTCTTCCTAAAAAAACAAAAAAAAAGACAAAACAACAAACCAAACCAAAGAATTTTATAAACACTGAGAACAGTGTAAATGCTCACCAGCAACAATGTCTGATTGAAGGATTTTCTCCACTTCTTCGTTAAATAATGTAACCCCAAGATTTTTTAGAAAATCTTCCAAGTTCTCCCGAGCTATCGTCTCGCCTTTAAGCGAATTAAGAGCTGAGGCTATCTCCTGCAACTCTAGAAATATATATTTAAAAAGACATTTGATAATTGAACTGAGCTCTGATTTTTCAAAATAGAATAATAAAGACTTTTGTCTGTGCAGTCCATGGTTAATTATTAAATCCTGAGTTTAGGATTTCAAGGCAGTTCAGTGGGTAATGGCACTTACTACATAAGCCTGAAGAAAACCAGAGTTACATTTTAGAATTGAGATTCATCTTGATGGATTTTTCCTGTGATAAATATGTAATGTCCCACCTGATTTCTTTTGATTGATTTTAGTTTGAAGTCTATTTTGTTAGATATTAGGATAGCTACTCCAGCTTACTTCTTAAGTCCATTTAATTGGAAAGTCTTTCCCCAACCTTTCACTCTGAGATAGTGTCTGTCTTTGAAGTTGACATGCAGTTGTCAACTGACATGAAGTTGTATGCAGCAGAAGGATGGATCCTGTTTCATATCCTGTTTTCATATCCATTCTGTTAGCCTGTGTCTTTTTATAGGCGAAATGAGTTCATTGATATTGAGGGATATTAATGACCAGTGATTGTTAATTCCTGGTTTTTTTTATGGTAATGTGTGTGTATTTCCTTTCTTTGGGAATCCCCAAGGATGACCACAGCTTAGACTACTGGCAATAGTAGAGAGGGTGCCTGAGCTGGCCTAATCAGCCAGTAACTGATTAGTAATCATCTGGTAATCAGATTGGTGAATTCACTATCATCATAGAGCCTTCATCCAGTAACTGATGGAAGCAGAGATCCACAGCCAAGCACCAGGTCGAGCTCCAGAAGTGCAGATGAAGAGAGGGAAGAGGGATTCTATGAGTAAGGGGTATCAAGATCATGATGGGGAAACCTACAGAGACAAACGAACCAAGCTAGTGGGAACTCATGAACTTTAGATCAATAGCTGTGGAGCCTTCATGGAACTGGACTAGGCCCTCTGCATAAGTGAGACAGTTGTGTAGTTTGGTCTGTTTAAGGGGCCCCTGGCAGTGGGAATAGGATCCATCCCTGGTGCAGGAACTAGCTTTCTGGAGCCTATTACCTATGATGGGACACCTTGCACAGCCTTGATGCAGGGGGAGGGACTTGGACCTGACTCAACTGAATGTACCAGGCTTTGCTGACTCCCCATGGGAGGCCTTACCTTTTCAGAAGAGGGGATGGGGAGTAGGCGGGGGGAAAGCTGGGGGGAGCAGGAGGAGGGATGAGAGAGGGATCTGTGGTTGGTATGTAAAAATGAATAAAAAATTTCTTGAAAAGAAAACCAGAGTTAAATCCCCAGAACTCCCAGTGGAAGGAGAGAATCACCTGAAAGTTGTCCCCTCACCTCCACACACATATTGTAGTGTGTATGTGCCCATATGCATACATCATACACACACATCATCATCATCATCATCATAAACACACACACACATCATCATCATCATCATAAACTTTTATGTGTACATACTGAAGGAAAGCATAGAAACTTACAAAACTATTCTCTGATGCTTCCATGCTTTCCCATAAGTAGTATAGGTGTAGTAAGTTGGTAATGGAGGGAACATTCTGGAAGCCAAGTTCCCATATGCCACAAAACTTCCAAATAGGCTTCTCAAAAGATAGCAGTCTCAGTTCTGCTATATTAACTTTTTCTTGCCCTTTAAACTCTTCCAAAAGTTCCCTGCCCTACTTGGCACTAGGTGGCAATGCCAGCTTCTTCATCTCTCAGATTCAGTTACCCAACTAATGTCAGCACTTCATGACTTAATTTACTTTGCTCCCCACCTTATAAAATGTCACCAATCCTGAACAACAGTCTTTCTGAGCACTGCCCTCCAGTTTCAAAGTTAGATATAAAGTTGTAACTCTTTATTCAATACACAACATGCTCCTAATACCATGCTATATACTGCACATGGATAACAACATTTGATCCTGATAGCTCTATAAACATGATGCTCTTAGCTTCTTAATTCTGAAAATAAAGAAGTAAAATTAGAAGTCAGATAGCATAGAAAAAAAACTATTGAACTACAGAAAGGTGATGAGGAATGTCTAATAAAGGAAACAGAGGATTTACAAGAGATTCTATAAAAATAAAGCAATCCATAGAATAGTTCTAAGCCTGAGGCCTAAAATGCCATAGGAAGATTTTATACCTAGAAAACTTTAAAAACCACTAAGAGAGGGGCTAGAGAGATGGCTCAGCAGTTAAGAACACTGACTGCTCTTACAGAGAACCAGAGTTCGGTTCCCAGCACCCACATAGTAGCTCACAACCATCCATAACTCCAGTTCCAAGGGATCCAACACTCTCTTTGGACAAGCATATCTGTAGGCAACACACAAAATAAAAAAATAAATCTTTAAAAAAATCTTTAAAAAGTAGCATATTTCCCATAGAGTTCAAGAAGTAAAGATGGAATTTAAAAGATCTTTCAATAGACTGCTTTTTAATAAAGTATTTTTCCCCTGAAAGAAGCTGCCAGTTTCTAATCAAACTAAGCTTTGCCTGCCTTCCATCAGAACAATGCAAATATGTTAACTAGAAATCAAAGCAAATTATCAAAAAAATCAGTTTGAAGAGTCACAAATAATTCACTTACTTTCAATTTTTTTTCTTAACTATCACTGGGGGACTGAACCCAGGATCTCAGTGCACATTAGGCAGGGTTTCTACGAAGCTACAATGCTAGCTCCAATATCTTTCCTTCTCCTCCTCCTCCTCCTCCTCCTCCTCCTCCTCCTCCTCCTCCTCCTCTTCCTCCTTCTCCTCCTCTTCCTCCTCCTTCTCCTTAATTTCCCTTTCCTCCTCTTTGCATATGTGTGGTATGCTCACATGTGGGGGTGGTATACATGTATGGAGATACTGGTGTACATATGCACATTCATGTCGAGGCTGAGTGATTGTTTACTGTATTCATTGAGGTGGAAACTCTCCACTGAAATCAGAGTTCATCAATATGGCTAGTCTAGCTAGCCCTTTTATTCTGCATGTCCTAGGTCTCTGCCTTCTAAGAGTTAGAATTATAGGCAGATGCTATATCTACCTGGCATTTCTCTGTGTTCTAAGATCCAAACTCAGATTCTCAAGTGTACATGGCAACACTTTATCTGCAGAGCCATCTTCCCCAACCACCCCAAACCCATATTTACCTTTTAACCTACGGGTGTCCTGCATATCTTTTACTGCTTTTGAAAATTCTTCGAGTTGTACTTTGTCACCTTTGGTGAGAAAAATATTTTATTAGATTACCCTCAGTAAACAAAAGTCACAGCCAATGAAGCAATCTATAAAAATGTAAATCATTTGATATACACTTAAGAATCATATTTTTTAGTAACAGGTTGATTTATGGAAAGAGCAAAAAGACTCTAAAATTTAAACTGAGTTCTCAGTTTCCATCACTTAAGAGGAACCATACAATCTATAGTTGTATAAAATGTAGATAGGTCCTAAATAAAAACAGGAGGTAATGTCTCAGTCTTAGTTTAGACTTTGCCTGAAGAGGCGAACTCTGTGACAGACCACCTGCGGGGCTCTTTGACCATAAAGTCTGACAAGGCTGACACCCTTTTATTTAGGCAAGAGCATGCAAGTACCAGACTCCTGTCAAGGGACAAACCTGGGAGACAGAAGCAACTTTGTCTCCTAACCACCACCAGGAAGATGGCTGGAGACTTAGAATTATTGTACTTGAGGATCACAAACTAGAACAAAACATAGAGGCCAACAAGGCACATCTCCAAGCAGTCAAAGTCCTACTCTACAGGTTTCAAATATAGCTACAAATATGCTATCTTGCCTTTTATCCACCATATGTTTTAAATTAGGACTTGAATTCCTAGGAACTATATAATAAAATCACATTCCTACACTGCAGTACATTTTCCTGTTTCTTATAGAAATATCCAGAATATACCTAACTACAAAGGCTTTGCCTCAAAATCTGTCAGCTATCCTGACTAAGGTAATAATAAAATGTTACCATAAAATGTGAACAGATACTTTATCTTTTTTTTTTTTTTAGACAGGTTCTGGCTCAGTAATACCTGTTGGCTTGAATTCACTCTGCAGCCCAGGCTGGCCTTCTCAGTCTTCCTACTTCAACCATCTAAATATGCTGGGATGACATGCGTGAGCCATGACATACCCTGCCTCGAATATATCTCAAATTTCCCAATCTCCCAGTCTGTTCTCACTAGGAACACACTATATAACACGAAGGTATTGAAGTAAAAAATAGATACTGATGTTTTATATAGAACAGCCTGCTGTGGGATGTTCTGTATGGCAAATGTGTAGCTCTGATTGGTCAATAAATAAAATACTGATTGTCCAGTGGCTAGGCAGGAAGTATAGGCGGGACTAACAGAGAGGAGAAAAGAAAGAACGGGAAGGCAGAAGGAGTCACTGCCAGCCGCCGCCAGGACAAGCAGAATGTGAAGATGCCAGTGAGCCACGAGCCATGTGGCAAGGTATAGATTTATGGAAATGGATTAATTTAAGATATAAGAACAGTTAGCAAGAAGCCTGCCACGGCCATACAGTTTGTAAGCAATATAAGTCTCTGTGTTTACTTGGTTGGGTCTGAGCGGCTGTGGGACTGGCGGGTGACAAAGATTTGTCCTGACTGTGGGCAAGGCAGGAAAACTCTAGCTACAACAGCCAAATTACATGAATTTTCTTTATAGTTCCTACGTCTGTGGATTATTATTTCAGCTGTTAGACACTCCACCTCACTGAGATCTGAATCTGTGGGAGGCCTGGAGATCTTTGTGCTCACAGATAAGCACTAGAGGAACTTGGAACACAGGGTTGCTCCTTCAAGGGAGGAACGCAAAACCTGTTATCCAACCAAAAGGCTGGAGTAGACGTGTTTTCTAGTCAGTTACCTTTGCATTATCTGTGTAGATACTCTTCTAGCACTGGACCCTCTCCCAGATCTTACCATAAATTTGTTTTTCTTCAGTCAATCTATAGAGCCTATCTTTATGACTTTACAAAGAGTTTTGATGGAGTCACATCTGATCTTTATTTAGATTACTTTGTACCTTAAGGACATTTATGTATGCTTTGTTGTGCATGAAGTATTCAGTTATATCACCAGAACGGCCTTCACCAAATTGTGCTGTGCTTAAATATACCTAAAATAAACCACTTAGAGTCAGACTCCAGAAGTTTGAACCAACACTGGCTACTGAGTCATGTTGAGCTGAACTGCCTTCTTTTCTCCCACAGATTGTCACTCTGCTGACCATAAAAGTTGCAGAGACCCCCTCATGAATCTACAAAACTGCTAAGGGAAAAAACTGAGAAGATGCTCCGTGTTATCTGGCCTAGGCAGAGAATTCTGGGATATAACCTAAAAAGCACAGCTGACCCAACAAAAAATAGACAAACAGGACTGCATCAAAATAAAAAGAATAATATTGACAAGAACAACAATCACCAGAGTGAGCAAGAGACAGACAGACAGACAGACAGACAGACACACACACACACACACACACACACACACACCATAGGCAGTAAGCTAGCAACCACTCACCCATGAATTGAGAGAAAATATTTTCAAATCATACATTGGATAAGAGGTTTACTATCTAACATATATAATGAACTCAAATAAAAATAATAGCAAGAAAACATATAGCCCTATTTTTAAAATGGGCAAAAGTCTTGAATAAATACTTCCCCCAAGAAAATACACAGGTAGCTCACAGATGTGTGAAACATACTCCAAGCATGAGAGAAACACAAGCTGGCCTCACAGGCAGAGCCTGCTTCATGTGTGTTAGACTGGTTAGCACTAAAAACAGACACTGAAGTTTTACCTTTGGATACCCACCATCAACTGTGGCTGATTTCAATGCCTCTAAGAATTCATCTTTTTTTAAATGACTATTTGAGCTAGATAATGTGTCCCACAAGTGAGAAACATCCATCTTGTCCTTGCTGAGATTGTGGAGGATGTCAACAGCATCTGGCAACACTAAACCATGGACAAAAACACAAGCTTAATAATATATTTATCCAAGATATCAACACAACAACTATTATTTGGAATAGTTAACAATTAAGGATTTGGGGTTTAAGATAAACATCAAATAGAGCAAAAATAAAGAGCCAATTTTCAAGGATCAAATCACAATAAAAAATATTTACCCTGCTATATATAATATGTCTTAGAAGTTTCTGAACTGTTTGAAGAACATATGCCCTTACCCCTGGGTAATCACAAAAAATAATTTCCTAACTGGGAATGTGGACCAGTGGAGCATCTTCTCAGCACACTCAAGGGTCTCAGTACCATGCTCAATACCACAAAAAATAATAATTTTCCTTGAATTTTAAATTTATAAAAGTCTGAGTTCCCAAACATTTCAAAAAACATTAAGATTTTATTTTTCATTGTGTGTTTATGTGTAGGGGTACAAGTTTGCATGAAGGTGCCCACACATGACAAAAGAGGGTGTCAGATCCCCAGAAGTTGGAGTTAAGGGTGGTGGTGAGCTGCTCAGTGTGGGTACTAGGAACCCAACTTGGGTCCTCTGCAAGAGCAGCAAGCATTTTTGACAGCTGAGGCACCTTTCCAGCCCCATGTTCCCATTTTTTTGTTTTGTTTGTTTTTCAAGACAGAACTTCTTTGTGTAGCCCTGGCTGTCCTGGAACTCAGTCTGTAGACCAGGCTGGCCTCAAACTCACAGAGATCCTCCTGCCTCTGTCTCCTGAGTGCTGGTGTTAAAAGTGTGTACCACCACCACCGGCTCATGTTCCCAATTTTTAAAAACAACGAATCAAATAGTTTTTGCTTCCTGTCCTTCTCAAAGTTCTTCGCTCTCTCCTTCTTCCTATAATGAAAGTTTTGTTTTTAGTATAATTTTAAGCAAGAGAGTGAAATTATCTTACAGAAAGACTTCCTTGCTGCAAATGTAAAGAATGGACTCTCTGGAAAATCAGGCAGGAGAATTCTGTAGAGGTTCAGCAACAAAGATGCTGGTGGCTGTGACAGGATGATATAATGGAGATCTGAGACGGCGACAAATCAGGATGTACTTCGAGAATGAAGATGTGTTCAATGAATTAAATGGAAGGCTGAAGAGACTGGGACCACCGAGTCCTGAGAAGCTGAGTAAATAGTAATGTGTGCACCGTTTGCCACAGGAAAAGCAATCTGCTGGGGAAGAGCTGGAGATGATCTGGGAGTCAGAGGAGAGAGGGGCAATTCAAAGCAGTAAGGTCACTCTGAAAACACCTGCAAGAATGGGGCCCAGAATGGAGTCTGTGGGCATGCTGATACTTAAAAATCAACCACCAAAGTAGCAGCCATTAAACAAGACCAAGATGCAAATGCTGATAAACTGGCAGTGGGTAGAGAGGACTAGAAGCCAACACTGTCTTGGGTACCTGTGGGGTTGGTGGGTAAACGCCCCACAGAATGGGGCCATGAACAGGGACTAAAGAAAAAAGAAGAAAAAGGGACTAAAGAAAAAAAGGGGGACTAAAGACAAAAAAAGGGGGGACTAAGACAAATGAACAGGGACTAAAGACAAAATAATAGGGACTAAAGATAAAGAAAAATAATAGTTTTATTACAGAGTTTTTGGCGAAAGTGTGGCCAGTGGAAAGGCATGCCAGTGTTATGGAAAATATATATATTTTATATATATATATTATTGAGGGGCAGGGGTTTTATCCTCAAGAGGAAAGGAAAGTAGACTGGAAGGATGTCTGATGCTGCAGCGCAAAATTCTCTTCTGTCAAAGTTTTCTATCTTCTATCCCTTTCTCAATTTCTATCTGTGAAAAATAAGTATAAGGTATAGGGTAGTAATACAGTGTAGGAAAAACTTAGAAAGGTAAGATGGTGTAGAAAAAAGGCAACTAGACAGAAAAACTTCAATTTTCTAACTTTGGGGGCTATGAAAGCAAACTGGGGGAAAAAAATCTTTCTTTGGGCTTTACGGGTAGTAAAAAAAGCTCTTCTTTGAGCTTATGGGGAAGAAAAAGTTTCTTATGGAAGCTTTTGACCAGGGGACAGCTGAAATGCTAAGTCCAAGAGGCAGGAGAAAGTGTTTTCTCCGAGGCAAAAATGGGGCTGTAAAAAGCCAAAAAGTTTAAAGTTCAGAAGTTTTAGGGAAACTTGGTCTTTCTCTCTTGGGGGAAAAAATTTTTCTCTTAAACTAAAAAGCTTTTCTTGGAAAATTTGGAGGGAAAAAATCTCTCTCAAAAGCTTTAATCTTTCTCAAAAGCTCTCTTAAAAAAAACTTAAAAACTAAAGCCTTCAACTTTCTCTCTCAGAAGGACAACTTAGAATCACCTGAAGATATTAGTATGGGGACCACCTGTGATTAGCTCTAAGGGAAAACAACAAACCTCTTAAGACAGCAAAACCTCTCTGAGTTCTGTCTTTCAAGCTTTAAAAATCCTTCCTGCAATACAGGAGGCAGGGATGGAGTTCCTAAAAACCTCTCTTCTAAGCTCTGTCTCAAGCTAGTAAAAGGCAGTGGGTCAAAGTCCCCTGAGGGAAACATTCGGGAGAGTGTGGGTAAAGAGATAGAGAGCCCAAAAGGGCAGGAAACTACCAGAGAAAAGCAAAAAAGCCAAGCTTTTCAGTTACAGCCAAGCTGATGCATCAAGGGTTTTGTTTCTGAGTGAGCTATGAAAAGGTGCTCCTAATCGTCCTAATGTAAAGATCCCCTGAAGCAATGCAAACTGTTAGCATTGTATCCTCGTTTCTAACCAAAAACTAAGAAGCAACTGGCCAGTGTCTCTGAGTTGGAGTGCATTTCGGGGATACTAGGGTTCCTGCAGTTGTAAACTTCCTGGAGCACAGAGCTGAGGCAGGAAGGTGCAGGACCCAGGGGAAGATTGCTAATGAACAACCAAAGCTAAAGCAGGTGGGAATGGCACAGTTGTCCACTTTCCTACAAGTCCCGGGTTGATAGGTCCACAACTACAAAAAGAAATCTGAGAAAAAGCTTTCCTATTAGAAAAAGGACCTTTCTGGGAAAACAGTAAAGCTGAACTGTGTCTGAAGCAGTTGTGCTGCTGAGTCAGAACGCTGTCTGGGGAAAGAGCCCAGCCAGGGCAGAACAGAGCTATCCAGGAGTAAAGCTTTCTTTTCTGTCAGAGAAAGCACCTCTTTGAGAAAAGCTTTGTTTCAACTGACTCCCAGTGAGATGGAGTGTAGCCCTAAGGGGTGATTGCCTTTGGCATAAGCTCTGTCCTTGAGCACCCAGACAAACACAACCCACTGGGTGACTGGGCCAGGTGAAGGCCTGATGAGGCAAAACACCTGTCCTAATGGGAGTTTAGAAATGGCGAAAACCTCCCTTGCTAAGCTTGATTTATGAACACAAACCTCAGACCCCGAAAAACAGAAACGGACTAAAGCCCCTACCTTCAGAAGCAAAAAAGCTGCCACTGTAGTGTCGGAAACTTTCTGGGGTAGAGGGAATAAACTGAGACCAAACTGGATACTGTCAGGGAGAAAGACTCTGAAAAAACAGAGAAGGGACATAATCCTCCACAGAAAATGCATGACCTGAAAAAGCTGCTAGAATTTGAGGCAGATTCAGGGGGAGAAAAAAAAAAGCCCCTACCTCCAAAAGCAGCTAGTAGAAGTACAGAGCTGCAGACAGATAGCTGAAGCTCTGCATCTG